GTGGTCTGACTGAAACTGGAGGAACCCAAGAAAGCATGGCCCCCAGACTCTCTGTCAACCCAGCACTAAAACCATTCCCAAGGCCAACTCTTCAGACAAAGATTAGGCTGGACTGTGGACATAAAATGATACTCATAAAAGAGTGTGCTTCTTAGCTCAAGTAGATACATGAGACTAAATGGGCAGTTCCTGTCCGGGGGTGGGATGAGAAGGCAGACAGGGTCAGAAGCTGTTTGAATGGACATGGGAAATCGGGTGGAAAGGAGGAATGTGCTGTCACAGTATAGGGAGAGCAATTAGGGTTATATAAACTGTAAATTTTTGTATAAGAGACTAACTTGAATTGTAAACTTTCACTTAAAGTACAACAATAAAATAAAAAAATAAAGATTTACAGCCTTGGAAACCCTATGGGGTAGTTCCGCTCTCTCCTATAGGTTTGCTATAAGTCAGAATTGACTTGATGACAATGGTTTTTTTTTCGGGGGTGGGGTTAATCTTTATCGGTGCAGGGAATAGATCTCCAGGTCTTTTCTCCTGCAGAGAGGCTGGTGGGTTTGAACTGCCTCACCTTTTGGTTAGCAGCCAAGCATTTAATCTTTACCACCACCAGATTCTCCTTCATAGCTACTTCTAGTTGTCCCTTAAGTGTTGGTGTTCCTTGTCTTTTATCCTTTCCTTACTCTTCCTTTCTCCCCCTTAAACACTTGCCTTAGTCCTACTCTTTAGGTATTACATACATGCTGGGCATTCCTAAATCCCAAAGCTCTAACTTTTCTCTTGACCTGGAAGACTGCCTACTGGACATTTTCATCTGAATGTCCTACAGATAATTCAGACTCAACACGTGAAGAGAGGAAATAATCCTTAAGTTCCCCATCTCCCTTAAAAGTATTACCTACGCTTGATCACTCATACTTGAAACGTCAAAGTCTTTTACTTCTCTCACATTTGATTACCAAATCCTGTCCATTCTACCTAGACAATGTATCTCAAAATTTTCTCTTTCAATTTTTATTTCCACTGCCTAGTAGTCTCATACTCACCTTGGTTACTGCTTAGGCCCTGTAATTAATCTCCCTGCTTTAGTCTTCCTGAGCCCCAGGCATCCACCTTTCACATTGCCACCAGTCCCCTGCCTAAACACCTTTACTTTTAGAAAAAGCCTGAACTCCTTTATATAGAATCGAAGGCCTTTCCAATCTGATTCCGGTCTACCCTTCTAAGGTGATTTTCTGCCTTGTATACCTGATCTCTCCTGCTCACTGTCCCCTTTTTGGCACCCCCACCAGGCCACACACACACACACACACACACTTTGTGTTCACAACTCCGTCTCTGCCTAAAATAACCACCCTCCTCTTGTTATATCATTTTGTTTACCTGTGAGACATAATTTAAATATCCTTTTCTTTATGAAACCCTCTGGGCATCTTTCTTCCCTTCTGTGCCCTAGGCAGAATTAGCTTATTTAATCTTTCTGCTTATATAGCTCCTTGCTCATACCCCTAGTATGACACAGAATTTTCTGGTTGCTTGTTGATATACCTGCCTGCCTTTCTAGACCATGAGCTCCTGGTGGGCAGGGATCACACCTCTATCTTTGTAGGGCCAGCACCTAATGACCTACCTTTTTTAGACCAGGACCTAATAGATATTTGCTGAATTGAATGAATAACCAACTCACTGTATCCCTGTAGTCAGTGGGGTTAAAGGTAAATTACTGGGTCACTGCAGGCTTGAACTGAGAAACCCTAATGAAGATTCCTGGATAGTGCAAAAGGTTAACTTGCTCAGCTGCTAACTGAAAGGTTGGAGGTTCGAGTCCACCCAGAGGCACCTGGGAAGAAAAGCCTGGTAATCTACTCCAAAACAATCAGCGATTGAAAACCCTGTGGAACACAGTTCTACTCTGACACACATGGGGTCACCATGAGTCGGAATCAACTTGGCAGCAACTGTTTTTTAATGAAGATCCTTGTGTATGTGGAAACGAGGAAGCCTTTATTCTTATGCTGAGGTCCTTTCTTTGGACCTTCCTAATCCCTCAGTTTACAGGTTCTTTCCTTTTCTATCACCATCTCAATTTTAAGTCCTGACCACCCAGAGCAGGTGTAGTTCCCATAAACTTGGCTGGAATGTCTTTCTTTGAGACGGGTAATTATCCAAGGCCGTGTAAGGAGACTGACTTCCTGCCTGACTCTTATTTCCCTGCTCCCACTATGAAGGAGATAAAGTCTCCTGAGACACTCCAGATACAAGAAGCTATTTACCCTTCCATTCCTCCTTGTCCCCCGACCTATCTGATCTGGGAGCTGGTAAAGGAAGATGCCAGAACTAAGTACAACATTCCACCGTACTGTCAGGGCCCTGCAGACTCCTAGAAGGGCCTAAAGAAAGATAGGTAGCAGTCCATCTGCCCCTAGCACTGGTCATTCCTCCAGCTGCTGCCTCACAACTATTATAGCTTTTGCCCTCTCTTTTCATGCAGGCTCCCCCAGGAGAAAGGCCCCAGAATCAGAGTTAGTACTCAGACCTTCATGCCTGGTCCAAACTAGTTCATTCCCAGAAAGGGTTTCCAGGCAGCCACCAGGGGGACAGAAGGCTAGGAGAACAGGGAACCAGTCCCCTAAGATTCTAATTGTCATGGGAGCCAGCTGCTCACAGATGTGGAAATGATTACCTATTATGTTGCTTCTTAACAGTGGGGAGAGTTAGATGGAGTTGGACTCCTTCTGTCGCTGCATTGCGGCACAAACCATAGACCTCTCCTTCCATCTCCATGCTGACATCCCTTCACATTTTATAGTCTCTGCAATTTAAGGAGGTGTAGTATGTGCATTAGTCATCACAGGAGGTGCTTTCTGCCCCCTCACCACAGCCCTGAATTTCTCCTATGTCTGCTGACCTCTAGTGGTGGTAGTTTGAACTGTATTCCTCCCTTTCTAGTTAGTGGCCTGCTGGCAGGTAATGGTATATATTTTCTCAACAATCCAAAGTCAAATATTCAAATATTGTATTAAATGTATTTTTATTGCTGAATTTTGTATTTGTTTTTAGGCAGCATGATGTAATGCAAAGAGTGGAGCCTGGGCTTTGGAGTCAGACTTTGTTGTTGTGTGCCATAAAGTCAATTCTGACTCATGGTGACACTATAGGGCGGAGTAAACTGCCCCAAAGGGTTTCCTAGGCTGAAATCTTTACTGCAGCAGATCACCAGGTCTTTTCTCCTGCAGAGAGGCTGGTGGGTTCAGACCTCTGACCTTTAGGTTAGCAGCCAAATGCTTAACCATTGCAGCCACAAGGGCTCCTGGAGTCAGACTTACCTCGGTTCAAATCCTGGCTCTACTATTTTCTAGCAGAGTGACTTTGGGCAAGTTACCTAAACTCAGCTTTCTTACCAATAAAGTGAAGACGATAAATATGTTAGTGGGAGAATTAGATGAGATGATGGCAAAATGCATAGCACTAGCTGTGTCCTAGCATGCAGTAGGTGCTCAACCAAAAAAAAAAAGTTTACCTCCTCAATAATGGTGATTTGTTCAGTGTGTGACTCAATGTGATTTTTTGTATTTTGGTAAAATACACGCAACATAAAATTTACCTTTGTAACCATTCTCAGTGTGATTTTGAAACTCTGAGTATTTTATACAAATGCTTTCTGATTCTGAGTTTGGAAAATGAGGTCAATTCTAATTGTTGTTGTTAGGTGCCATCAAGTTGGTTCTGGCTCATGGTGACCCTATGTACAACAGAACAAAATACTGCCCAATCCTGCACCATCCTCACAATCATTGCTATGTCTGACCCCATTGTTGCAGCCACTGTGTCAGTCCATCTCGTTGAGGGTCTTCCTCTTTTTCAAAGACCCTCTACTTTACCAAGCATGATGTCCTTCTCCAGGGACTGGTCCCTCCTTATAACATGTCCAAAGTACGTGAGACAAAGTCTCTCCATCATTGCTTTTAAGGAGCATTCTGGCTCTACTTCTTCCAAGAGATTTGTTTGTTATTCTGGCAGTCCATGGTATATTCAATATTCTTTGCCAACACCATAAATCAAAGGCATCAATTCTTCTTTGGTCTTTTTACTCATTGTCCAGCTTTCGCATACATATGAAGCGATTGAAAATGCCATGGCTTGGGTCAGGTGCACCTTAGTTCTCGAAGTGACATCTTTGCTTTTTAACTTTAAAGAGGACCTATGAATTGAAATCAACTCGACAGAATTGGGTTTGGTTTTTTTGTTTGTTTGTTTACAGCAGACTTGCCTGTTTGATTTCTTGAGTGCTATTTCCATGGTTGTTGATTGTGGATCCAAGTAAAATGAAATCCTTGACATCGTCAATATTTTCTGTTTGTCATGATGTTGCTTATTGGTCCAGTTGTGAGGATTTTTGTTTTCTTTATGTTGAGGTGTAATCCGTACTGTGAAGAGAACTTGAAGCACTTACTGATGAAGATCAAAGACTACAGCCTTCAGTATGGATTACAATTCTAATTATGGGCTGTGAAGGCCCTTCTGGCTGTGTGCCTCCCTCTGTCCAGGGGGCTGCAGGCCCAAGCCCTGAAAATATAAATTAGAAGGGATCTCGAGTACTGCTGAATGGCTCTGAGCACTTGCACATACTTGGGTTTCCAGCCTGAGAAGGGCTGACAGGGTCCAGCACCTTTCTCCACGGTCATCGAAGGGCAGAGGTTTGAACTCAGGCATCAGTGGGTTCTCAGCTTGGCCCACTCCTCCAGCTATTCAGAGAAAAGAGGAGGTAGCTGAAGAGGCTGCAGGTTATGAGATTGGTTCTCTGCTCCTCCCTTTTCTTCCCTGCTCTCCCCCACAACTACCCCCTCCTCCACAGCAGCCATCTCCCCCACAGAGACTGGGATAGGAGCAAGGGAGGCGGAGTTGGGGACTGAGGAGTGGAAAGGCCCACAGTGTCCAGTATCTGAAGGAAACTCTGGAGGGGGGCAGCTGTTCTCCTCCTGCTGCCATTTTTCAGCAAGATGCTGGAGACTCTGGGGCTTTGGGCACTGCTTCCCGCAGCTGTGCAGGGTAAGTGTCTACAGGGAGGGGCGACGTCTTTCCACCCACCCAATGAGGGAAAGGGACACTTGAAGTAGCAGCCAAGAGTGGTGAGTAGGGTGGGTGAGTGAGGGAGAAGGGTAGAACTATGTATCCCCATGGGGGGTGGGGGTCAGGTTCCAGGCCTCTGCTGATTGCATTTGCTCCTGTGACTTTACAGGCTGACTTGTGGGATATGTTTGAGTTTTCTTTTTGGCTGCTGTTTTTGCCCCTGCGCTCATTCCCGTCTTGATCCCCCTCCTTTCCCCATCCATCCTGGGCTGCAGCACCTCCAAGAAAGCGAACCTGTGTATTCTTTGAAGCCCCTGGAGTATGGGGAAGCACAAAGACACTGGGGGAGCTGCTAGATGCAGGACCAGGGCCCCCCAGGGTTATCCACTGCCTCTACAGCTACTGCTGCTTTGGGATCTGGAATGTGACCCAAGACCAGGCACAAGTGGAGATGCAAGGTGAATGGCAAAGTATATGGCAGGTCATAATTATGGCGGGAGACAGGAACATCCTTGGGTGGGGGGAGGGGGGTGACAGCAGAGGGGGAAAGGGGAAAATGGAATGTGTGGAGGGAAAGAAAGCCCCATGTGAGATGGAAGGGATGCCTCTGACAGGGAAAGAATTTATCCTCTCTGTTCCCAGACCTCATTACTCTCTCTCTCCCATGCTCTCCTTTTAATCCCACACCATCAGGATGTCGAGACAGTGATGAGCCAGGCTGTGAGTCCCCTCATTGTGACCCAACCCCCCGAGCCCACCCCAGTCCTGGCTCTATTCTCTTCACCTGCTCCTGTGGCACTGACTTCTGCAATGCCAATTACAGCCATCTGCCTCCTCCGGGGACCCCTCGGACTCCCGGCTCCCAGGGTCCCCAGACCTTGTCAGGTAGCCATCCTTGTGGGTGCTGGAGCTGAGCGGGGGTTGGGGCCCAGGGTAGGACAAGTAGTAGAACCAAGGGCCAGTTCTCACCCTACCGCCGCCTTATGCTTTTTCTCCCGGCCTTGAGAAGTTGGTTGCCCTGGTGACCAGGAGATATGGGGGCTTGTGACCAGGGCATAGGTGGGTGGAGAAGCAAGCGCTTTGAGGAGTGGGAGAGGAGCAGTGGGCGGGTTTGAGGCAGGGCTCACCAGCCTGCGTTCTTGCTTTGATGTCCAGGCGAGTCCATCTGGATGGCGCTGGTGCTGCTGGGGCTGTTCCTCCTCCTCCTGCTGCTTCTGGGTAGCATCATCTTGAGTATTAATCTGCCCCATCCCTCCCTTGTGACTACAAGACACTTTTCCAAAGCACTGACCCCACTCCAGGCTCCTCTGACTCCATGGTCCTGGGATCCCTATAGCCTGACCTCATTACCTCTCACACAAAGTTCCCTCTCCACAAACCTCCCTTCCCTGTCCCTGCGCCTGTGCACCCTGACCCCGAGGTCCTTCTCTGCTCCAGGCCTGCTACAGCGAAAGGCCTGCAGAGTGCGAGGAGGGCCAGAACGAGAGCCAGATTCAGGCAGAGACTGGAGTGAGGAACTGCCAGAGCTGCCAGAGCTGTGCTTCTCCCAGGTGCCTAGGAGGGAGGGAAAGGCTCCCTGGGCACTCCTGGAGGTTATGCTGGGGAGGACGCCTGGCCCTGGAACTAGCTCAAAGGCCTGCACCCAGCACCATGTCCCCACCAGGTCCTGCAGGAAGGAGGCCACTCGGTGGTGTGGGCCGGGAAACTGCACGGGGAACCAGTAGCTATCAAGGCCTTCCCCCCGAGGGCTGTGACCCAGTTCCGAACTGAGCGAGCGCTGTATGAGCTGCCAGGCCTAAAGCATGAGTACATTGTCCGCTTTATCACTGCCAGCTGGGGAAGCCCTGGCCCCCTGCCCTGTGGGCCCCTACTGGTGCTGGAACTGCACCCCAAGGTAAGGATCCGGGAATGTACATACGTGTGGCGGAGGAGGGGGGCGCTGGATGGCAGCGGAGGCCCTGTCCATGCTTATTTTTCTGCCTTAGATTTTCCTCTTCTTTAAAACATTAAAAACAAAAGCAATACATGTAAATAAATTAACTCATATGATATAGATAAGGAAAGGGAGAAATCAAAATAATTCATATTTCCAACCTTAGAGAAAGTCATTGTTAAAGAAATACCTCCAGGCATAGCCCTCCAAATTCATTAATATATTCATTTCTTTCCTTTATTGTTGTGGTTTAAGTGAAAGTTTACATTTCAAGTTAGTCTCTTATACAAAAATTTATACATACATAATTATGTGACCCTAATTGCTCTCCCTGTAGTGTGACAGCACACTCCTCCTTTCCACCCCTGATTTCCCATGTCCATTCAACCAGCTCCTAACCCCCTCTGTCTTCTCATCTCCGGACAGAAGCTACCCATTTAGTCTCATGTATCTACCTGAGCTAAGAAGCACACTCTTCACGAGTATCATTTTATGTCCCACAGTCCCATCCAATCTTGGTCTGAAGAGTTGGCCTCGGAAATTGTTTTAGTTCTGGGCTGATAGACAATCCAGGGGCCATGCTTTCCGGGTTCCTCCACTCTCAGTCAGACCATTAAATCTGGTCTTTTTACTAGAATTTGACTTCTGCACCCCACTTTTCTCCTGCTCCATCAGGGACTCTCTGTGTCAGGGCGGTCATTGGTGGTAGCCGGGCACCATCTAGTTCTTCTGGTCTCAGGCTGATGCAGTCTCTGGTTTATGCGGCTCTTTCTGTCTCTTGGGCTAATACTTTCCTTGTATCTTTGGTGTTCTTCATTCTCCTTTTCTCCAGGTGGTTGAAACCAATTGATGCCTCTTAGATGGCCACTTGCAAGCTTTTAAGACCCCAGATGCCACTC